CCCTCCACAAAAAGCATTCCAGAGATGTAAGATAAAACATGGCAAGTTCCAGCCCCAGAGAAAACCAGAGAGAGGCAGACAGCTCCATCCTGCATGAAACAGAGCTTTAAATCCCTGACTTATTAGACACCAGCTCCCTAACTGTGCCCCAGGTTCCTTTCCCAGCAGTCTCGCTCCCATCTGGGGAGGTTTGCACGAAGGTATGCCGGGAGTTTAACGATTTTATGAGCTTCCTCAGCCAGACTAGGGTCTGGTGCCAGGTTAATTCCTCATGGAATTGCGGCTTTACATACTCCCAGGCTACAGACCCCAAGCATTTGGAATATTCACCCCATTTTTTCCTACACTTGCCCCCATCCCAGCTCCTGGAAAAAAAAAATCTGGTCTTCAGATGAAAACACTGGTGGGCTCTGGCTTACCCTATGCAGATATGAGAAAAACAAAACATTATGGAGCCACCTCAAGCACACTCTGTAACCACGGGGCCAAAGCCAGAACCAACTTCATTTTCCTATTCTCAGTAAGAACGGTCATCAGCAGTCATTTCTTTCCCCAATATCCCTTCCTCCCCAAGCAGGCCAAACTCTGCATCGTCAGTTGGTTCCTGAGTGACCAGGCATTCATTTGTAGGAAGGAATGGCGTACAGGAAAGAGATGGGAGGTGGTGGGAAATCCAGGCAGGCCCACGATAAAAACTGGGTAAAATCAGGATGAAAAGCACGGAAAACTTTAAAGACAGGTAAGATGAAAAAGTGGGGTTGCCCTGTAGGTGTTTAAAGACTCCAATCTTTGAAAAATAAATAAATGAAGAAAAAGGGAATAGACAAATGTGGAGTAACACTAATAAAAGAGGACCAACACGAAAGCAGCTGGGAAATAATACATTCAACCAGAAATGGTAAAGAAAAGATACAGAGCAAAGGAAGAGGGCAATGTCAAGAGACCCAAGAAAAAAAGGGGGGGGTCGAGACAGGAGAAATAGGAAAAATGAAAAAGCAGAGAAAGACTGAGGAACGTAGAAAGCAAAAATGTAGGGTAAAAGCAGGGTTCCAGGGTGGGAGTGACTCGACGCGAAGAGGGGCGTCAAGAATGGCAAACTCGAGCACTAGGTGATGGGAGGGTGGCCCAATATGGAGGAAAGGAGACTCTCCGAGGATCGGCGGGCGCGGCCCACCCCAGACTGGCGGCGGGGAAGGGGACCCACAGATTGGGGTGAAGAGGCCAAGAGCGCAGCTGAGGTTGGGGAGTTAGGGGCCCAGGAGAAGGGGTCGCCCCATAAAGCCAGGAATGTGGACGGTTAGGGGCAGGCCACAGACTCTGTGTGAGGGGCTGGAGGTGCGGGTACCAAGCTAGGGTATCAGAGGGGGAGGGGCAGTCAGGCCCCGGCAGCAGGAGGACAAAATGGCGGCGGCTAATGGCAGCTTCTCCTCCCCCCGGCCCGCTGCCGCCGCCGCCGCCGCCGGCGCCGCCACCACCGCTCCCGCGCCGGAAAAGGGCGTTAGCACTCGGCTCCCCAGACTCACCTGGCCGGGTGCGCGGGGGTCCGGGACCGGGGCCTAGGGGCTCCCCGAGGTGGGATGGCGGTGGGGCGGGGGCGGATGGCGGCGGATGGCGCCGGGTTCGGCTCCTCCCGTCTCCCTCGCTCACTCCGCGGCTGGGCTCCGACTAACGGCCCATCCGGGCAACCGCCGCCCCCGGGAGCAGCCCCCCCACCTCCCGCCTCCCTCAGCGCATGACACGCCCCCTGATTTGCATAAAGGGCGGGGCACCGTCTACCCTATCCCTCTTTACTTCGAGGGCTGTCCTTATTTAAAAAAAAAAAGCAGGGCGTGCGGAGCAGGCATAGGTTCTTTGCATAAAGAGGAGGGACTTTCAGGCGCTAGGACGCCGGTTGGCTAAAGAGACGCGCCCCCGGCGTCGGCCGTTAAGACGCGTAGAGGGGGCGGGAATGCAGTGCCTGTCGGCCGGGCGGTTAGGGCGCAGAATTTGTACGACTAATGGGGGGCGGGGGGAAGGGGCGGAGCGTGCGTCGTGCGTTCGTGGAAAGATGAGAGCGGAGAGACGTAGGGACGCGGAGAGTGGAAGGAAACGATGCAAGACTGGCAGTGCTTTCAGCGAGGATGGAGCGAGAGCACGGGGCGGAAGGGGTTAGCTGCCGGGGGGCGGGGCTTACGTAACCAGGGAAGAGTCCCGACTCACGCGTCCATTCGCCAGAGGTGAAAGCACCAAAGAGGCGGGGCCTTCTAGTTATTAAATCACGTCATGCAAATGAAGTGGATAGACAGGCCAATCCTGGGGTCCAGGGGAGTGTATCGTCGGCCCCGTGCAGTGTAGGCATTCTTTTGCTAGTTCTATTTATTTGCATAATACATGCAAATCGTTTGAACAAAGATAGGGTAGGAATGACCTCTTCGATCAACATATCGGCAACCAATGACTAAGATATTTAATTTTATAACCTATAATTTTCATGAATATATTTGTATATCTGATACTATTGGCGGTTTGTATTCTCTTCAGAATGGGTTTCATTCTGCGAAATGTGGTACTAGTTCCCTCCTTTGTCTCCTATTACTGTGCTCCTGTCAGACCGGCTACCCGTTCAGCAAATCATTCGACAACTGTTTCGAAGGCGTGAGAGATATCCACAATATATTATGAAAGTAGAGGGATAAAATCAGATCCTGCCTGGGGAAGTTCAGAAATGCTTCTAGAAAAACGTGGATCTTTTTAGATGTGAAGAACTAGTTAGGATTTAGCCAAGTTTGAGGAGAGGGTGCACAGCTCAGGCCCAGTGAACTCATGAGCAGAGACATGGTTTTAGGGATCCGTGCCTCTCACTTGTTGTGACTAAAGAGACTGCTTGTCCATTATGGAAAATGAGATCAGAAAAATTAGCAAGAATCCGGGCGCCTGGGTGTCTCAGATGGTTAAGCGTCTGCCTTCAGCTCAGGGTCATGATCCCAGAGTCTTGGGATCGAGTCCCGTATCGGGCTCCCTGCTCCTTGGGAACCTGCTTCTCCCACTGCCTCTCTCTCTCTCTCTCTCTCTCTCTCTCTCTCTCTGTCATAAATAAATAAATAAAATCTTAAAAAAAAAAGAAAAAGAAAAATTAGCAAGAATCCAATAACAGTTTTATCCTGAGGCACATTAAGATAGTTGAGATGACTTCAGTTCTTAAGCATTCAAAATGATTCTCTTGTCCCCCTCTCCCTGGTCACTTGCCACAGCAAAATTTCTTGGAAGAGTTATCCACATTCACTGTCACCAATTTCTCTCCTGTCATTCATTCTTTTTTTTTAAGATTTTACCCATTTATTTGAGAGAGAGAATGAGAGAGAGAGAGAGCACGAGAGGGAAGAGGGTCAGAAGGAGAAGCAGACCCCCCGCTGAGCAGGGAGCCCGACCACGCAAGACTCGATCCCGGGATTCCAGGATCATGACCTGAGCCGAAGGCAGTCGCTTAACCAACTGAGCCACCCAGGCACCCTCCTGTCATTCATTCTTAAACCAACTCCAGTCAAGCCTTTACCCCAATCTTTTACCCAGCGTGCGTGTATCAAGGACATAAGTCTCATGACTTGAAATAGCATTCATGTGCTGATGACTCCCAAATGCAGACCTCTCTCCCAAACTCCAGACGGATACACAGCTATGTACTTGACATCTCCTCTTGGTTATCTAACCGATCATTTCAAATTCAGTATGTCCAACACCAAACATTTGATCTCCAGACCCTCAAAATTTGCTCTCTTCACAGCCTTCATCATCTCAGTTGGTGGCAATTTAAAAATTATAGTTAAGCTAAAAACCCTGGAATCCTCATGGACTCCCTTCTTTATTTCACTCCCCACTTTCAAGCAGAGAGGAACTCCTGTCTTGAGAAAATATCCAGAATCCAGAATCCAGCCAATTCACTTACACTGCTTCCACCTTGATCTCTCACCTGGGTTACAGCTACAGCCTCCTAACTTATCTTTAGTCTACCCCTGCCCCTACTGCAGCCAGAGTGGGCCTTTTCTCAAAGGAGGCCTCAAAGGAATCCCTTGCTCAAAGTCCTACAATGCATCTCAGTTTCTCTCAAAGTCCTTAGAGTGGCCTACAAGACCCTAAATGACTTGACCTCGTGATTTTATCACTTGCCCTACTTCTACCAGGCATGTCTCACCTTGGAGCCCTTTTGCTTCTCTTTTCCTTGCCAAGCTGACTCTTCCCACAGAAACCCACATTGCTCATTCCTTTACCTCCATGAGGTCTTTGTTCAATGCTGGTCCTCTTCTCAATGAGGCATACCCTGATGACACATTCAAAATTTTAATCTTCCCGGGGCGCCTGGGTGGCTCAGTTGGTTAAGCAACTGCCTTCGGCTCAGGTCATGATCCTGGAGTCCCGGGATCGAGTCCCGCATCGGGCTCCCTGCTCAGCAGGGAGTCTGCTTCTCCCTCTGACCCTCTCTCCTCTAATGCTGTCTCTCTCATTCTCTCCCTCTTAAATAAAGAAAATCTTTTAAAATAAAAAAAAAATTTTAATCTTCCCTGACCATCCTGTTACCCCTGATCCCCTTTAACTTGCTCTACTTTTTCTTCTAACATCATATAAATTTTAAATTATATTTAGTGTTTGTTGTCTGTCCTCCTCCCACACCATTTTCCACAACAGAATGTAAACTTCACAATGGCAAGGATCATTGTTTGGTTGACTCTTATATCCCAACCACCTAGAATAGGGAATGGTACAAGGTTGATGGCCAATAAATTATTTTTATATATTTTTAAAGATTTTATTTATTTATTTGACAGAGAGAGAGAGAGAGAGGGAGCACAGGAGCAGGGGGAGGGGCAGACAGAGGGAGAAGCAGGCTCCCCGCTGAACAGGGAGCCCGATGCAGGGCTTGATCCCAAGATCCTGGGATCATGACCTAAGCCAAAGGCAGACGCTTAACTGACTGAGCCACCCAGGCGCCACCCCGCCCAATGATTTTTTAAGTCTTTTTATCAAAGCATACTATATTTATTTATTTTTGATGAATTTTCACAAACTGAGCAGAACATGTAGCCAAAAATAAAACTTTAGCGCCACGGAAGCTGCTAGAGGGCCTCTTCCAATCATTGCCCTCCCCCAAGACTTACTACTATCCTGACTTATAACAACATATATTAGTTTTACCCTTTTTTGTACTTTATACAGATGGAATTATACAGTAAGAGTTTTCCTGTGTCTGTCTTCTTTTGCTCAACATTATGTTGAAGAAGTTCATCCACATTGTTGCATGTAGTTGTGGTTTGTTCGTTCTTGTTGCTGTAAAATAATAGTCCAATGTATGAATAGAACCCAATTTATTTATCCTGAATGAACGAATTATTTAAGCTCCCGCTCCTTTGTATCCTCCTCGATGTCACCAGAGTTGTTGCAAAGATTAAGAGAATTAGTACACAGAAAACATTTAGGATAGTATACAGTGGGTGCTCAATAAGTTTAGCTATTGATTTTGTTATGTTCAGATATTTTATCCAACTTGCAGTGATCTCTTCCTCATCTGAAGCCCCATACGTTTACTGTAGCACTCTTTAAGAGGCCAACCTAGCTTCACCACTGGGAAGAGCCAACACTCCTGTTCTCAGTACATGAAATAAGCTGGTGAGGGGGCGCTAATTGGATTATCTCTCCCCAGAAAGTCAGGAAATCTGAAATAGTGGCCGGAGTCTGGGGATTGCTAGAGTTAACACTCATCTGGACCTGTTGGAGGAAAGGTCCAGGAACAGCCTCACTGAAGACTTGGGAACTCTGTGATTTGTTCTCTCCCTGGGATTGGCTTTTTTTTTTTTTTTTTTTAAGATTTTATTTATTTGACAGTGAGAGAGGGAACACAAGCAGGGGGAGTGGGAGAGGGAGAAGCAGGCTTCCCACTGAGCAGGGAGCACGATGTGGGGCTCGATCCCAGGACCCTGGGACCATGACCTGAGTCGAAGGCAGACGCCCAACAACTGAGCCACCCAGGCTCCCCCGGGATTGACTTTTTAATCCTTTCTGCCATCCAAGTATTCTGTATCCCCAGTATCTGTCCTCAATATCCTCCAAATAGAAGCTCCGTTTCTCTTCATTAGAGTCAGTTTCTGCAGCTTGTCCCCTAAAAGGACCTCAATGACTCATTTAATGCTTAACTTATCAGGACTTACAGTTTTCTGAATCCTTTACTCTATTCAGTAACATCAGTTCTTTTATCCATCCATCTATCCATCCATCCATTCAATTTTTAAACATTATTGAGGGCTTATGATATGCCAGGCGCTGTGAGGTAGATCATATTATCCCTACTTTCTGATGAAAGACTCAGAGAGTCTTAGTGATTTGTTAGGTAACAAAGACTAGTGATAGAGAATATTGGTTTAAGATAATCCTTGCTTGGGGCCCCTTGCTGGCTCAGTCAATAGAGCATGTGACTCTTGATCTCTCGGGGTTGTGAGTTGGAGCTTCACATTGGGTGTAGAGATTACTTAAAAAAAGTAAAATCTTAAAAAAGAAAAAAAGATTATCCTTGCTCTTCCCCATGGGCCTGGGTGGTGTTTTTTCTGTCTGTACATGTCTTTTTGTCCCATCTAAATTCCTTGAGATCAAGGCTATCATATATCTGGAATCTGCCTTGAAGTCCAAAACCATCTGCTGTAGTTGACACATTACAAAATTGTGGATGGATTGCTCATATGGGCAAATCCTTGCTGCCCTTCCCTCAAAGATGTTCACTTCTTCCCAAACCCAGGAAAAAAATTCCCCCCAAACAGAGACCAAGCTGACTTGATCCGGAGAAGGATAGTTTATTTAATTTAGTGTACCTCTGGCTCATAATTCTGTGTCCTTTTTCCATGTTGGGATCATTAGAATCCCCATCAATCCCACAACATTCCCCTACCACAAATTAGGGCAACTCAGAGATATTTTTCTTGGTTGGGGGACCTGCTGGCTTCTCCTGTTCTCTCGCTTTCTCCTCATACATCAGGATCCTGGTTGAGATGGGAAGAGACAGAGGGATCAGGGGACAGTCTTCTTGAGAGAATAAATCTTAGGCTGCTGTGAAAGTCTGGAAGAGGACAGGCGTTATTATGGTGGGAGGAGGAGGAAGAAGAGCAGGGATGGCCGTGCTGGGGGCTGTAGGGACCAGAACAATGGATAGGGATAGGAACTTGGAAGGGTCCCTCAAAGAAGGGAAGAAATAGATGCTGAATAATGTGCAGGTTAGCCTGGGGATGGGGGTAGGGTTGAGGAGAAAACAGGTAAGCATAGGAAAGATTGGCACTGGACCCTCACATTTTTAAGATGGCAGATCTCTTGCCCAGCATCATCTTGAGGAAGTCAGAGTAGCTGAAAGTCTCCCCAGAGCCGCCGGACACCTCCCTGATTAATTTCTTGAGCTCCAGGTGGGTCTTGGGGACCCCCAGTTTCTCCAGCATCCGCTTCAAGGACATGATATCTAGAGGCAGAGGAGGGGGGTGAGAAAAGGGGAGCCTCTCTCTCTCTGTCTTCACCTTCCCATTTCCATTCTAGTCCCTCCTACTCTTGTAGCTGGGCCCTCTCCCAAACCACTGGGAATGGAGCATGGTAGGAGAGACCTCCCTGTTCCTGGGTCTGCACACCGCCCCCCCATCACCCTTTTCTCACCGATATCTCCGTTTCCATTCAGGTCAAACTCCATGTATTTCTCTGAGTGAGAGGAGAAAGCAGGGTAAGCGCTGGCTGGAGGGTCCCAGGCTGGGGCAGGGCAGGGGCTTGAGAAAAGGGCCGCTGACCAAGTGCTGGGTGGGGAAGATGTGGAAAGGGGAGGTGGGGCAAGCAGAGGAAGTGTGGGTTGGGTTGAGGCACCCTGTTAAAGTGTAGGGAACCAGAGAGGGTGCTGAGAGGGGCAGCCCAAGGAAAGAGACTACAACCAGGGGGAACAATAGAGGCAGCCTCCCTTTTTTCCACCACACATGTAGACTCTGCGTCTTTGAGGTCCTTTCTGAGGAAATCCTGCCCTCCTCACTCCCCATCTGCCCCTACAGTTTTCCCCTCACTCTTAAAGGTTTCCAGTTTGGAGGGCAGATCCTCATCACTGCTATATTTGGGATCATCCAGGAACTGCTGTGGGGAGAAAGCAAGAGCCAGGATAGGTCCCCCTGGTCCAGGGGCCCCTTCCCCGCAGGCCCTGCCCCTCAGATCTTCCTTTTACCTTGTTGATTTCATCGAGTCTCTCTTCCTGCTGGGCCTTCAGCAGCCCGAAGGCTTTTCCTCCTGAGGGGGCACAGAGGTTAATGTTTCTTCACCCCCCATTACTCTTCTTTCCCCCACACCGGCCCAGGGTCATCACAGTTCTGCCCTGCTAGACCTGCTCACCACCTCCTAGCCCTGCCCAGGTCTATCCGTCTCCTTGCTCCCATTTTAGGCTCTGCCTCTTCTACCTTCCTTACCCTGTAAATCCCTGGTTTGGCTCATAGCTCAGCAGATGTTGATGGAGAGACTGGTAGATAGGTGGTTAGAGATGGAGCTGGTGCTCTCTCGGTCTGCCGGCTCTCCTCTCCCATCAGCCTCCTCGGAGGCCTCCCTCCTAAACTTCCTCTTTCCCCTCATTCCCTCCTCCTCCAGTCTCAGGCCTCACTTCCCCTCAGCTTCTGCTGACATGAGCACCCCAGGAGGAAGGGGCCGGTGGCTCTAGGATTGAGATGAGAAAATAACATTTTCCCAAATTCCTCTTAAGGAGAGCCCAGTCTAGGGGTGCCTGGGTGGCTCAGTCATTAAGCGTCTGCCTTTGGCTCAGGTAGTGATCCCGGAGTCCTGGGATGGAGCCCCACATCGGTCTCTCTGCTCAGCAGGAAGCCTGCTTCTCCCTTTCCCAGTACCCCCTACTCGTGTTCCCTCTCTCGCTGTGTCTCTCTGTCAAATAAATAAATAAACAAACAAACAAATAAATAAATAAATAAAATCTTTAAAAAAAGAAAGAGAGCCCAGTCTGTGCAGGAAGAAGCCACTGGAGGTATGGGGGAGGGCTATTTACTCTCAGGAACAAATAAATGGTCTTTGAACAGGTGCAGAGGGTCAGGTAAATAAATCTTAAGACTTGCATTTTGTCGGATGTCATGAGTCTGGGCACGCAGGTTTGGATACATAGCCGAGGAAGGGCTGACTGGATTTTTCTACACTGTGAATGGGAGAAAAATCTCAAGTCCACCGGCAGATCTAAAAGGACAGCAAGATGGTGTAGGGTCGGAAAGGGAGAGAAGCTTCACTCCCAGTCTGGCAGCTCCACAGAGGCACTTGGAAATATGGCAATGCCTAACACATGAATTGTATTTGTTCGCTTTAGGATGTGCAATGTAACCCATTCATCTTCTCTCCCTTGAAATATTTAGTGAAATCTACAGAGCTGAGGAATTTTTTTAAGATTTTTTTAAAAGATTTTTATTTATTCATTTGAGACACAGAGATACAGAGAGAGAGAAAGAGCATGAGCAGGGGGAGAGGCAGAGGGAGAGGGAGAAGCAGGCTCCCCGCTGAGCCAGGAGCCCGACGTGGGGCTCTGGGACCATGACCCGAGCCAAAGGCAGACGTTTAACCATCTGAGCCGTTGAGGCGCCCCAGGAATTTGTGAATCTAAGTAGATTCTTTGGAGGAACTGAAAGTGGTGCTGAGAGAGACGGTATTTGTGGACACAAGAGCCAGGGGGTGAAGCCCACATTAGGGGTGTGTGTTTGTGTGCGTAATCGGGGCCAGTCACCGTGGGTTCAATAGGGTGGGTAAGTAGCCTCTAATAAATGTCTCCCCCACACATAGCCTTTTCCCTTTTTTTCGTTGTATGGGTAGTGGCTTCTGGGGGGGGGGCGGTGAGGCTAGTAGGTTCCAGAACCTCACTGAGACATTTTTGTTCAAACTCCCCACCATTTTTGTTCAAACCTCCCAAACTCTAGGTGGTTCAGTCAGTTGATTGTCTTGACTCTTGGTTTCTCAGCGTTGTGAAATCTAGCCCCGCAGGGGGCTCCCTGCTCAGTGGGGAGTGTGCTTGAGATTCTCTCCCTCTCCCTCTGTCCCTCCCCCTTCACTCTCTCAAATAAATAAATAAATAAATAAATAAATAAATAAATAAATCTTAAATAAATAAATAAATAAAATAAAAACGAACTCCCCACCCAGAGCTCCACCCACCCTGTCCCAGCATCAATGGAGACACCTTTCCTTCTCCTCTCCCCTTCACCTTACTTCCCCTTCTGCAGCTGGGAGTATTCACTTCTCACTGCCCTCTCCCTGACCCGTGCAGGTCGGGGGAGATGCTGGGGTGAACTCTGAATTCTGGACTTCCCTTTACTGTAGCTGCCTCTCTCCTTTCAGAGAAAGCTGCAACCCACACTCAGGTCTCAGTGCCTAGTAGGGGGGATTCATTTCTTTTTTTTTTTAATTTTTTATTGTTATGTTAATCACCATATATTACATCATTTGTTTTGCTCATTTCTTTATTCATACATTCATTCAACAAATAATTATCAAATGCATACTATATGCCACCTCAGTGATCCAACCAAGTGTCAATTCTTGTCCTCATGGACAGTCTAACTGCGGAAGACAGACAATAAAAATAAACATATTGGGCGCCTGGGTGGCTCAGTCGTTAAGCATCTGCCTTCGGCTCAGTTCATGATCCCAGGGTTCTGGGATCGAGTCCCGCATCGGGCTCCCTGCTCTGCGGGGAGCCTGCTTCTCCCTCTCCCACTCCCACTGCTTGTGTTCCTGCTCTCCATGTCTCTCTCTCTGTCAAATAAATAAATAAATAATCTTTAAAAAAATAAAAATAAAAAAATAAACATATTGGGGTGCCTGGCTGGCTCATTCAGTGGAGCATGTGATGCTTGATCTTGGGGTTCAAGCCCCATGTTGGATGTAGAGATTACTTAAAAATAAAAAATTCTAAAAATAATAAACATATTAAAGGTGACAAGTACCTATGCAGAAAAACAAAGTAGGGAAGGGGGATAGGAAGTGCTGTGGTAGACTGCAGTTTTATTTTTGTTTTTATTTTTATTATTTTTTAAATATTTATTTATTTGAGAGACAGAGAGTGAGAGCATGAGCTGGGGCAGGGCAGAGGGAGTAGGAGAAGGACAAGCAGACTCCCTGCGAAGCTGGGAGCCTGTGGGGGGACTTGATCCCAGGACCCCGAGACCATGATCTGAGCTGAAGTCAGATGCTTAACTGACTGAGCCAGGCACCCTGGACTGCAGTTTTAAAGAGGGTGATCAGAGAGGCTTCTCTGAGAAAATATTTGAGCAAAGACTTCAGATAGGGGCATATCTGGCTAGCCCAGTCAGTGCAGCATGTGAGTCTTGATCTCGGGGTTGTAAGTTCGAGCCCCATGCTGGGTGTAGAGATTACTTAAAAATAAAATCTTAAAACAAAAAAAAAGACTTCAAGAAGGTATGGAAATAAGCCATGTGGCTATATGAGAGAGGAGCATTTCAGGCAAGTGCAAAGGTCCTGAGGTGAGAACATGTCTGGATATCTGGAATATTTGTGAAGCAGCAGGATGGCCAGTGTAGCTGGAGCCAGGTGGATGAGAGGAAACAGGCAGGAGATGAGGCCAGATTGGGTAGGGCCTTATAGGCCATTGGGAAGTCTCTGGCCTGTATTCGGGATGAGACTCCCCCCCAGACTGTTCTTTCCATCAAGAATGGTTTGGCAGACTACCATAGTGGGACAGAGCTTAGATGCTCAGAGAAAGCCCCGGGATAAAGTGAGAGCTGCTCTGACATGGGACAAAAGTGAAGAGTAAGAGTATCTACAAGGGCAAAGGGTGGAGAACAAAACCCGGTGTAAACACAGATGGCAGGAAAGCCTGTGAAGACCCGACATACAGGAAGACATCGCCCACCCGGACTCAGGGGCCCGGCCCCCACGGTCACAAAGAAGGCTGACTCCCAGTAGTAGGGGTGAAGGGGGGGCTTCTGGGCAAGGGTGGGAAATGCAGGGTTGCATTAGGGGGCAGCTTCAAGGAATCCATGAGAACACGGACATAGGGGAAGTAGATAGCTCTCTGACTGGCTGCAAAATCTAGATCTGAGCAGAGATAATGCAGGAGCTCCTTAAAACAGTGGTTCCCTCTGAGTGGCCCTTCCCACAGCATTACGTGGAGGTGGTTAGAAATGTGCCTGGTTGGACTACTTGGTATTTACCCCAAAGATACAAATGGAGGGATCCGAAGGGGTACGTGCACCCCGATGTTTATAGCAGCAATGTCCACAATAGCCAAACTGTGGAAAGAGCCAAGATGTCCATGGACAGATGAACGGATAAAGAAGATGTGGTATGTATATACAATGGCATATTACGCAGCCATCAAAAGGAATGAAATCTTGCCATTTGCAATGACGTGGATAGAACTGGAGGGTGTTATGCTGAGCGAAATAAGTCAATCAGAGAAAGATATGTATCATATGACCTCACTGATATGAGTAATTCTTAATCTCAGGAAACAAACTGAGGGTTGCTGGAGTGGTGGGGGGTGGGAGGGATGGGGTGGCTGGGTGATGGACATTGGGGTGGGTATGTGCTTTGGTGAGAGCTGTGAATTGTGTAAGACTGTTGAATCACAGACCTGTACCTCTGAAAAAAATAATACATTATATGTTAAAAAAAAAAGATAGCAGGAAGGGAAAAATGAAGGGGGGCGGAATTGGAGGGGGAGACGAACCATGAGAGACTATGGACTCTGAGAAACAAACTGAGGGTTCTAGAAGGGAGGGGGGTGGGGGGAGGGGTTAGCCTGGTGATGGGTATTAAAGAGGGCACGTACTGAATGGAGCACTGGGTGTTATACGCAAACAATGAATCCTGGAACACTACATCAAAAACTAATGATGTAATGTATGGTGATTAACATAACATAATAATAAAAATTTTTTTTTTAATTAAAAAAAAAAAGAAATGTGCCTGGTTGGGCCTCAGCCCAAACCTACTGAATCAGAAACTCTGGGGGTGGGGCCTGACAATAGGTTTTTAACAAGTGCCTCAGGTGCTTCTGATACAGGGTCAAGTGTGGGAGTCATTGCCCTAAAGCAATGGAGAGGTGCCCGAGCCTGTGAGTCCTGCTAAACCCAGGCTGAAGGTAGCGTAGCTTAAGTACGGGTTAGTGGGGGGTGCGGCTGATCAGCCTTGGAAGAAGAAGAAAAGGAGTCACAGGGGCCAGACATGTTAGTGTCCAGCGAAGCAGTCAGGAAAATGACCTACCTGGAGAACCCCATGAGATTAGAATCCCTATGGAACCGGCACCTGTTGCTAAGGGCCCTTGCTATGATTCCATGCTTTCCCGGGGGGAACTGCTGCTTAGAATCAGGCCCCATGGAGTGTGCTTACAGGAAAAGCATACATGGGCCAGAAAACTTGTTGGTGTGTGTGTCCTGTTTGCCCCTCCATTTTCCCTCTCCCACTCTGCTCTCTGCCGCAGGAGGCGAACCTGTACAGAGCACATCAAGGGCACCTCTGGCTTCCAGCCAGTCTTGGCTGTTGGAGAGCCTGGCAGGAGAACAGCAGGAGGGAGGACATTAAGCTGCGGGTGTTGGTTCCCCTGGCCCCCT